GCGAGCAGCTGCTGGGGGGGGAGGCTGCACCACAAGTTACCTGCCCGCAGCTTCTGCTCCCCTTCAGCTCCTGGGGACCAGCAGCCGCCGCCCAGGAGCCGCAGCTGGTTAGCAGGGCCCTGGTGGGCAGCAGCCTCCCAAGGACTCTATCCCGGCAAAGCTGTTCACGAGGTGGGGCGTTTCGGGGGGAGTCATCCAGGGTTGGAGCCTCCTTTTCCCCCGTCCCGCAGTCTGCCATCAGCTCCTGCAGCTGGGTGCTTTGCTCCGGGGAATAGTGCCCGAAAGGACACTGGAGTCAGGATTACCTAGAGCGTAGCTTTGAAGGGCTTCCTGGGTTATTTTGTAGGCAGAGAAGACTGGAAACTTTTGGCTGTACTCTAAGCCCTTCTGGTGTACACTCCCTTTCTGGTTAAAAGTAGTAAGGGGCTGCCAACCCCAAAGTGAGAAGAGCTGAGGGAGCTTCTGTATTGACATGGCAGAAGTCGTGGTTTTGGGTCTGACACCATGGCCTGGACTATTTGTCACCCATAACCAGGTAAATGAAATGTCTGCTGATATGAAGTTCATACAGTTTTGAGAATGAGGTGATAAATACATCCTACAGTTGGATTCTGGGCTTAATTGACAGAAGCCATGGGATGAAATCGAGAAAGGGAAAATGTAGCTTGACTGTCGGGAAGAAACTTTCTGACTTTGACAGATGCCATGCTGTGGCCTCGTCTCACAAGGGAAGCTGTGGAAATACACATGAATGTATGTTCTACAGATTGGATGAGTCCCTGAGATGTGTCAGCAATGAGAAACAGTGGCCAGGATTTGGAGCAGCTCACCTGATAGTTAACTTTCCATCTTGAACTTCAGTGATATATTTGAAGAACATAGCAGTGGTGGGAAGTGGTAGTGTTAACTAACAGACCAAGGGTGTGTTGTTTTTTTTAACTAGATGGTATTGGTGGTTTGTTTGTTTGTTTTTTTGAAGGTTTCAAAGCAAGCTTTAAAGTGGCTCATTTTAAACATTTAATTAGAAGGCATCCTCAAATTAAAAATCATACGTGTATGAGCACAGACTTCACTCTAGGTAGCAGCTGGTGAGTGTGTGGGTTGCACCCTGTTACTGGTATGCAGCCTCTGCTCCACTATAGCTCTTAGGTACCAGCAAGGGACAGCAGCAACAGCCCAAGAGCTCCTGTAGCTGGGTGCTTTGCTCTGAGAAAGTGTCTGAAAGGACCATAAGTTATTCAAAATTGAAGCATCAGAATTCCAGTTCACGTGGGTGACGTGTTCTTTAGCTTCTGACTTCTTTGCTGGGACACACAAAATCAGTGTAGTCACTTTCATTTTTGTGTACTATCCAGTTTCTTTTTCAGGGTCTTTCTTTTGTAATGTTTACATTTCAAATACTGAGTGGGAAATGTTTATTTTAAAATGGTTTCAGTTGGATTCAAAATAAAACCATGTGTTGATAAATTTAGAATTTTTACAGAATTTAAACTTTGAACCAAATATAAGCTGACAGTGCCCCTGTTAACAATTTATACAGCCACAGTTTCGTGAAGAACATTGTAAAGAACTCATTCTGGAATTAGAAATATTGTAGTGTGAATGGTAGAAATAAGTACACTGGAGGAAGTAATGTGTTTTTTTTCATCAAGATAAATGCATGATATCAGAGTAAAAATGTTATATATATATTACCAAAAAAAACTGTTACATGTATTCTGTGTCTGGTACCTCTACAAACCACAAGGGTGAGTAGTTTATTAACTCGGAATATAGCCTGTGTAATTCTCAGGTTGTCTGGTGGTGTTGAAATAATCTTATCAAATGCAACCTAGATGATCTATTGGGGATTGCTGTGTTGCTAAACAATTGACGTGTGATAAAGACACTAGAGAACAGCTGTATTCTTTGGTTTGTTATTAGTGACACATCAGCTTTGCAACTTAACCTGTGACTCTGCTATATGGATAGACCAGAGGATCTGGTGTGTCTTCTGTGCTTGTCATTTAAAAACAGGCTTTTTCTTCTTTAAATATTGGGTAAAGCAAATGGAATTTGGGGCCATAAGAACATAATATTGCTAGCTTTAGGTTCTCTAGTTAAAGTTTAACATAAGAGGCTTCAAGATGTTCCACTCCAATGAAGATTTCACTTGCAAGTACTGTTAACCTGTCACCAAGCTACAGGAGATTTATCAGAAGGCGTAAGTGCAACTCTTAACTAGCACTAATGGACAAGTTCTATAGCTATAACTAGATGATTTTATTTGTTTTGTTTTGTTTTTTCATTTTATTTTTGTCTTCTGATTTTCTTTTGGGACAAAAAAGTAAAGCACCATCTCTGAAGAGGCTCTTCCAGCTTCCTTTAGCTGCCTCAGGAGCGCCAGTTTTTTATGGCTAGGGGAAAATCACTGATGAGACAAGTGGATTCTGTACCTGTTTTCTTGTAGTGCTTTTTAAAAAAATTAAACCAACACTTTACTTCTAATGTTGATCCATTTGATTGGTATTTTGAGGGTAGGCCGGGTTGGACAGTGTTATAAACTATGATTACTGAAGGCTGTGGAGCACACTTGATAATCCAGATGTCTCAGAGATGTTGACTATAAGTTTGGGTGAGTGAGCGCATTTTCCTTGTACTATATAACTTAAGACTTCTTTCTGTTTTGGATAATAGGGAGTTTCGGATAACTCTTAACTGGGTAATACAGGATTTAGTATACAAGACTAGCAGCAGCATGGCCATATTTTGTCAAACTTTCAGTCCAGTTATTAAATATTGACTCTCCAGAGTTAGTCATTTAAACTTGCATGTTAATAAGTGTAGATTTATTTATAACTAATACTAGAGCTATTAAGTTTACAGTAGGATGCAAATTGATGAAAATGGGAGCAGAGTTGAGGTATTTGAGACCACAGCTGAAGGATTGTAGCATCATGTTTTGTAATGGTGGGTGGGTGTGGGTGTGTGTGTGTTTTTAATGGAACTTTGTGAATGTAGAAAATCCTACTTTTCTGTCAGCAGTTCACACAGTCAACGCCAGTTGGGATAGTTTTCTGTTGGACAGGTCTTCAGAATTACTGTACAGGGTCTCAAGTCTCAGAGGGGGGTAGTCTTGTTAGTCTGGATCTGTGAAAAAGTGAAGAGTTCTGAGGCACCTTAAAAACTAGCAGAATGAAAAGAACTGTAACAATAATAATACAGTAGCAAAGAATTCTGTATCCTTGTGTGTGACTGTAGAAAGTTGTGTGATCTAGAATACTGGCACAGATACTCTTCCCTTCCTGCCTTTGGTTGGGTTAATGCAGTGGTCTCCAGCCTTTTTACGTCCAAGGTCACTTTTAAATGTCAGAACAAGCCAAGATCAACCGTAAAATGCCAGAAAAAGCCAAGATCAACCGCCCCATCCATCTCCCCCCAAAACCCCACCCCCTCCTTGAAGCCCCGCCTTCTGTTCTCCTCTCCATCACTTGCTATCCCCAGCCCTTATACACTCTCAGGGTACTGGTACACTGCTGCTTTTTTTTCCGATTCTGTCTAGATTGGGCCAAATGTCAGAAAAAAACCTTCTTTTGGATGCCCCCTTATTCCTCATGGAACGAGGAATACAGGGGTTACCAAAATGTCATGTTTGCTGTTCCGCTAAAAAAAAGCGGAAGAACAAATGCATCTCTGGACACAGAAGAGTTTTTCCGGGATACCTCTGGAATACCGGAAAATCTCCTGCAGTGTAGCCATACCTTCACTGGGTTGAGGCAGGATGTGTGGGCTCTGGGGTGGGAATGAGGGATTTGGGTGTGGGAAGGGGTGAGAGGTGCAGGGTCAGGGAGGGAATTTGGATGCAGGAAGAGGTGGAGAAGGGGATGCTGGCTCAGGGAGAGGGCTCCAGGATGGGGAGGGTTGGGGTTGGGGTACTGAGCAACCCACATGCATGTGAATGTGAGGGTGCAGGAGTTTGAGTTGGAGTATGTGAGGGGCTCAGGGCAGGGAGACTGGGAATAAGATGGGCAGTGTGTGGATGGTGCACATTTGCAGGTGTGTGGATGGTGCAGGAGTGTTGTGGCAGAAGACTGAGGCTATGGGGCTGCAGGAGTTTGGGGATGAGAGCGGCTCAGGATAGCGGGTTCCAGGGTATGATGGACACAATTCAGAATTATTATAATCAGGGCTCGACAAACCACTGAATCTACTCGCCCCTGGCGAGTAGATTTCAGCTGGTTGCTCCATACACACCCCCCTCACTGTGGCCCCAACTGTGGTGGTGGAGCAGAGGACATGGTAGTAGGGACAGGGTGCCTGTGGGTTCTGTGGCAGGGGACAGAGGGTCAGAGGACAGGATGCCAGTGTGTTCTGCTGCAGGGGACAGGGAGTCCCCAGCCCACGCCTCCTCTGGGGACTCCTCCCTCGCAGAGGAGGGAAGTCCGGGTTGCGTGCCTCTTCTCGGGACTTCTAACACCCCTTCATCCCCCCTTCCCCCCCGCATGAAGAAGGGAAGCCCCGACCTGCACTTCCTCTGGGGACTCCTACCTCCCCCGAGAGCAGAATGTCCCTGGCGCCCCACAGACCTGCTTTGTGGTATGGCGTCAGCTGTTTGGGGGAGGGGGAGCAGCTTGTGTACTTCCTCAAACCCCAGAAGTAGTGCACAGCTGCTGGACTTCCGTCCATCCTGCAAGAATCTGGCACTACCTCCCTCATTGCTGGAGGTAGGTAGTGGGGCTTCTTTGGGGTGGGAGGATGTGTATGTGGGTCCCCCGAACACTTCACTATTGACTGGTCCGGGCTTGCCAATTGACCTGTCGATCGCGATCGACAGGTTGTTGAACACGGGGTTAATGTTTCTACCTGCTCTTTTCAGTCTGAGTGTCATCCCATCTCCAATATATGTGATGGAAACAGGAGATGAAGAGATCATTAGAATTAGCTTTGTGGGGAAAATAGTGGTAAGAGTTGTTTTTTTTCTCCCAGGGGAACAGATTGGCTGTATTTTTTTTCTCTAGAATTTGCTGTTATAACCTATAATGGGTGACCTGTATGTTTATAGTGCAAGATATTTTGTCCTTGAAATGTAACAGGTTGGGTGCTGTAAGGGTATCTTCATAGTGACTTGTCACTTGATAGAATTTAACTGAACTCTTGCATATGAAAAGACCTATTTTTAAGTGATACGGACAACAGTAAAGGGACGTTAACCGTCTGATAGTAACTTCTAATTAAACTGGCTTCAATAAATTGAAATTGGCAAACTTCCTGACTCAGAAGAAACCTGCATTTGTGCCTTAAGATGAATTCATATGTGGAGCCAGACCCTTGAAGCTCATTGGTGAGAAGCAAATGTTGAGGGAGTGTGGACGAGTCGCAGGGTGCGATCACCCCCTACCGGTCAAGTAGGGGGGCTCAGCAAACCCCTTCGTTCCCAGTTCCAGGCCCGGTAGGTGGGGTGCGATCACCCCCCCTCTCTGCGGAGCACGGGGGGGGGAGTGGGATACGGGGGGGGGAGGGGGATTCAGCAGACCCGCCATCTGTGCCCCAGCTTAGCGGAGGGGGGGCCCTCTGCACCCCGAGTTTGGCCTCTCCGAGAGGCTAACCTGGCCAACCCTCTCCCGGGCGTCTGGCCGGTGCAACCGCACATTTGCATGCATTCTGAGATGGAGGGGGTTGTGAGGTAAAGGGGTAGTGGGAAGGAGACCCGGGCCCACCCTCTCTCCGGGGCCCAGTCTGGGGCCCTAAGTGCAGGGGTTCACCATCGCCCCTGCACGGCAGACGGGGGGGGGGGAATC